CCATTGATAAATGTCTTTCCAGAATTTTTGAGTGTATCTGCAATACCAGAACAGGTGGGAAAGGGTTTCAGTAAATTCCCCGCAGAAAGAACAGGAGTCTGCTTGTTTTAGGCCCATTTTAAAGATGAAGTCGTTTGTTGCTATTCGTCTGTGGAGGAACATGAATTGGAACACTCGTAACTTTGTTTCTGTTGTACACAGAAAGGGGAGGCGGTATGTATTCTCCCAGTTCACGTTCGCATTTCCTATTATATTTTCCTTAGACAGCCATTTTCCCTGGCTTTTAAGAGGGGTGGTGGCCAGGGGTCTTACAAGCAGGGGTTTTTACAACCAGAGGTCTTACAACCAGGGGTTGTTACAACCGGGCATCTTATAACCAGGGGTTCTTACAACCGGGGCTCTTACAACCAAAGGTTCTTACAACCCGGGGTCTTACAACTAGGGGTTTTTACCACCAGGAGTCTTACAACCGGGGGTCTTACAACCAGGGGTTCCTACAACCAGATGTCTTACGTCCAGGGGTTCTTACAACCAGGTGTTCTTACAACCAGGGTTCTTACAACCAGGTGTTCTTACAACCAGGGGTCTTACAACCAGGGGTTCTTACAACCAGGGGTCTTACAATAAGGGGTTCTTACTACCGGGGATCTTAAAACCAGGGTTTCTTATAACCAGGGTTCCTACAATAAGGGGTTCTTACAACCAGGAGTTTTAGAACCAGGGCTTCTTACAACCAGGGTTTCTTACAATCAGGGGTCTTACAATAAGGTGTTCTTACAACCAGTGATCTTAGAACCAGGAGCTCTTACAGCCAGTTGTCTTATAATAAGGGTTTCTTACAACCAGGGGTCTTATAGCCAGGGGTTGTTACAACCAGGGGTTCTTACAAACAGGGGTTCTTAAAACCAAGGGTCTTACAATGAAGGGTTCTTAAAACCAGGTGTCTTACAAACAGGGATCTTACAAGCAGGGGTTCTTACAACCAGGGGTTTTACAGCTGGGGCTTCTTAGAACCAGGGTTTTTACATTAGGGGTTTTTATAACTAGGGGTCTTACAACCAGGGAATCTTACAAGCAGGGGTCTTACAACCAGGGGCTCTTAGAACAAGGGGTCTCACAACCAGGGGTTCGTACAACCAGGTGTCTTACAAGCAGGGATCTTACAAGCAGGGGTTCTTACAAGCAGGGGTTTTACAGCCGGGGGTTCTTAGAAGCAGGGTTCTTACTTTAGGGGTTTTTATAACTAGGGGTCTTACAACCAGGGAATCTTACAAGCAGGGGTCTTACAAGCAGGAGTCTTACTAAGAGGGGTTCTTACAACAAGGGGTCTTACAACCAGAGGTTCTTACAACCAGGGGTTCTGACCAGCAGGGGTTTTTTAACCAGGGGTTTTACCTCTAGGAGTTCTTACAACCAGCGGTGTTACAATAAGGGGTTCTTACAACCAGTTGTCTTAGAACCAGGGGCTCTTACTGCAAGGGGTGTTACAATAATGGGTTCTTACAGCCAGGGGGTCTTACAACCAGGGGTCTTACAACAAGGGGTTCTTACAACCAGGGGTCTCACATTCAGGGGTTCTGACAAGCAGAGGTCTTTCAACCCCTTAAGCATGTTAGAAATCTTGGCACATGGTTTGATAACCATATGTCTATGAATACTCATATAGGAAAGGTATGTAGTAAGGTATTTAGGGGGCTTTATAATGTTAGGAAAATTAGGAAATATCTGTCTGCAGAATCAAGAAAGTGTTTAATTCAGGCGTTTGTTACATCACATTTAGATTATTGCAATGCTCTTTTGTATAAGCTTCCGCAATATCAATATGACTGACTTCAAAAAGTTCTTAATGCGGCGGCTCGGGTTACATGCCTAATTCCTAAGTTTGCCCATATTACTCCGGTACTTAGGGAACTTCATTGGTTGCCAGTGAAATTAAGAGTAGAATTTAAGATTGCACTTTTAGTTTTTAAAACGTTGAACGGCCTGGCACCACAATATTTATCTGAACTACTTGTTGTAAAGCCTTGAACAAGATACAGCCTGCGGTCTGATTGTAATCCCTAAGGTGACACAGAAGACTTTTGGCAATCGAGCCTTCTTCCATGCTGGACCAACAGTATGGAATGCTTTGCCATCTAGCCTTAGAAATTGTAGGAACATTGACTCTTTTAAAGTACAGTTGAAGACTTATCTTTTTAAGAAAGCTTTTAATTTGTAATTTTATATTCTTATTACTATTATTATTTCTGTCCATTTAATTTATATATATATTTATTTTCTTGTAAACCGCTTTAGAATATTTTAATAGTTAAAGCGCTATATTAAATGTAATAGATTATTATTATTATTATTATTATTATTATTATTATTATTATTATTATTATTATTATTATTATTATTACAACCAGGGGTTCTTAAAACCGGGAGTCTTACAACCAGGGGTTTTTACAACCAGGAGTTCTCAGAACCTGGGGTCTTACATCTAGGGGATCTTACAAGCAGGGGTTTTATAATGAGGGGTTCTTAGAACCAGGGTTGTTATAACTAGGGGTTGTTCCAACCAGGGGTCTTACAATCAGAGGTTCTTACAACTAGAAGTCTTACATTCAGGAGTTCTTACAACCAGGAGTCTTACATCAAAGTGTTTTATATCCAGGGGTATTTAGAACGAGTGGTTCTTAGAACCAGGGGTTTTACCAGCAGGGGTTCTTACGACCGATGGTCTTAAAACCAGGGGTTCTTATAACCAGGGGTTCTTCCAACCAGGGGTCTTACAATCTCGGGTTTTTTACAACCAGGGGTCTTACAACCAGGGGTTCTTACAACCGGGGTCTTACAACTAGGTGTTCTTACAACTAGGGGTCTTACAATCAGGGGTTCTGACAATAATCTGCTCTTACAACAAGGGTTTCTTAGAACTAGGAGTCTTAGTACCAGGGTTTCTTACAACCAGGGGGTTTACAACAATCAGTTCTTACAACAGGGGTTCTTAGGACATGTGGTCTGACAACCAAGATTTTAGTAGAGCATTGCAACACTATACATAAAACTGCATTTGAGGAAATTAGTTTTGGCCTTAGAAGTAGTAGGTTAGTTTTAAGACGGCTAAGATTATAGTTAGTGTTACTATCGTGGAATTTTGTAAAGTAGGCACTCAGATTGGCGGGGGGGGGGGGAACATTGATCCTATAGGATTGTGTACGCAAGGGTAGCTTTATCATGTAGGCGCCTGGTTTCAAGGTTTTCCATTTCAATCTTTCAAGAACACCTACCTGTTCAATATCATCATGACCGGGTGTTTATTACGCAGCAACAGTCGGAGAATTCTCCGTTTAGTACAGAGAAATCTCCAGCTAATGTTTGATAGCCTATGACTATTTTTTCATTGAGACGTACTGGAGCCTTTTTCAAATTATTATCCTATTAAGTTAAACCTTACACCTGTTACTAGAATTCTTAATGTAAACCCTGTATAACGATTACGGTCGTTTCGCCTACGGTCTGTTTGCCTACAGTGAGAGTCGATTCGCCTACGTCTCATATGTCAGTTCGCCCTCGTGTTTAAACATGTGTTCCAACAGTTGATTCATCTACTTTATGTGCGATCGCGCTCGGATCCTAGTCAGTCGATTCAATTCCTAAAGCGTGACTCATAAAGTCAAGCCTATCGAAGTTAAATAATTGTAAATAACGAGCGTTCGTTTACCTGAAAATTTCCGTTTTAGTTTGATTCATCTTCGTTCGAGTAAAAACAAGTTATGTAAATATCGCATATTCTGAGTTGCGAATTACACTGTTCTCCAATTACACTCATTAACCATGAAGCGTACTCATTTCGCGACATTTTAATTCTAATACACTTATTACATGCGGGGACGTTTAGGTTATCCGAGTGACACCTGCCCCTTAAACGACAGATCATTCGCGTTTAATTCCACAGGGCACAGAGGAGTTCTTTGTGACGGTAGGCGAAGCGAAAAGTTTACCGAGCCGATCGTACGATTCGCCTGTGTTTACTGTATAGTCGACAATCAAACCGTCAGCGATCATAAAATTTAACTACAAAACATGTTATTCCTCCGCACTCTGTGTTAATTCTAATACACTTATTACATGCGGGAACGTGTGGGTTGTCCTAGTGACACCCGCCCCTTGATAAAATAATTCACATGTAACCCTTGCTTAACTTCGATGCTTATCTATTTCGCCTTAAGTTCGAAATTCCAGCCTTATTCTACCTAAACTTAGCTGCCCTTAATTAATGTGCGACTTAACCTAAAGGAAAGACAACCAAAGAAAACTGAGCCTAATTTTCATACTTGACAATCTTGAAATCATAAACTTAACCGGCTTGTTTTAACTAAACTCGACTTAACTTCGATGCTTATCGACTTTGCGATCATAAGTTCTACCTAAATTAATGTGTAACTTAACCTAAACTTAGCCTTAACTATTAAACTTCTGACGTTTCTGTTAAAAATATCAAAGTTCTCTATTTCAGTCTTACTGGCAACGAGCAGGTCCATTCAAGTGGGAACAGCAGCGGAGTAATTGTGAAGCACTCTTATTGCCTGTCTGGTACTGCTCCCAGGCGTCGAATAGTTTCTGTTGGAGTTGCCTGTACTTCCTTCTCTGTATTCTCTTCAACTTCTTGTCTGAAACAAGCTTGATTGTTATTGACGTCAAGCGGGCTTCTCGATGAAGAAGTTCGATTAAGAGGTAAAACTGTAATCTGCATTGGCCACCGGCTCGGCGGTTCAGGGCGCTGTGCCACCCCTCTATATCGTTGTTGGTCCGGATCGGCTGCTTGAAGACACTCCAATCTTTGGGGGTGAAGATGGTGCTCTCAATCCACTGCTCCTGGATGTAGTCAGTAAGATTGCGGAGGGGCTGGGTCTGTGCCTGAACGCTGAGGCGCACAAACATCGGTCTGATCTCGTAGTGAGGGAGGAACGGGAGGGCCATTAGTTTCCTGATGAACCGGTTCGTTGCTTCATCGTTACTGTATGCAGTTTGGAGGCCAAGCTCTTGCACCTGGCGTAGACAAAAAGTTAAAATTTTTGACTTTAAGGAAAACGTACGACTAACGAACGGACTGCTAAAGGTGATGATACACGGGTTGACAGTTTGTCTTAACGCTATAACGGTTGACACTTACGTTCTAACAGTTGTATATATTTGTTTCATAAAAAAGGCTAAAGCTGTGAAATCACAATTTGTTTAATAAACTTTAATAATCAGTTTATTGCCTTTTATTCACCTTTTTTTTCGGCAGCGAAAAAAGAGTGCTCGACATGAACTAACCTTTCTCCACAGAGCCTGGGTCCAGTGGAACACGCAGCCTTGAAGCTGCACTGCTGGCAGGACGGATCTAAATTTGAGTCTGCTTGATTTTTTGTGTATCAGCGAAAATGGAATCATGAAATGGTCTGGAGTTGTTTCACAAACATCCACTTTTTATATACTGGATAGAATGAACAGTATATGATCCAAAACTGAATAGTTACATAAAGTTTCCACATTTAGGAAATCCAGTGAATAATCCACCAAAGGAGATTGAGTTTCCGCATTTATTGTTGTGGAAACTCGACGGATAATTGAGTATCCTCTGAATTTACGAGCTGCAGAAACATGACATTAGTGTTGCTGCAAGAGTACAACTGATGGAAACAAGAGTGTAAATGATGTGTTTCTGTGACTTTACAGAAACTGAAACATGCCGTATACACATGTTTCCTGTCTGCGGATATTCAGGTTTCCGTGAGGTAACCATTAACAAAACGAAAACACCTTTTTTCAACCTGTGTAGAAAGTGGATGTGTGTAAGAGCCAGTTAACAGAACCTCCCTTGTGCCTCGAATACTACTTAGTACTTTTTGGCCACAGAAAACAGCGGATATTTTAAGCTATCATCTAAGACAAAGGGCCAAAGAAAATAAAGGAACAGTGCATACCTTCATAAGGTCAACATTAAGCCAGTTAGAATTATTGTTGTACTGCTCTCGCCACAAAAACAAAATAATGTTGTTCCCTATTGAGGGAACATTACAATAAGGGACTCGTCAAAAAGTATAGAGGGGGCGGTGGTGGTGGGCTGGAGCATTTGGAAATGTGGTTGATAAAAAACTTATTGCCCTGCCCCTCCCTTCTGTACAAAAATGACTGACCCACCCCTAAAGCAAGGTTAGAAATTGCATGACCCACCCCCTAGTTAAAACATCGATGTTTGGTTTCCTCTTAATAATCCAATAAAACCTTGTTCTGTTCTTGACAAAATTTGTTGATACACTGCTACAACCAATATCAAAATCGCAGGAATCATACCTTTCACTCAAAAGACAGATGTGAAAAACTGAACATTTCTTGTTTCAATGGACGTAATGAGTCTTAAAACAAATATACAGCAAAACGAGGGTATATTGAAATTGTCTGTAACAAAGCATATGAAAATTTTTTACAAAGACGACCCATTCCTACACATTACTTGTGAGAAATGCTTAGATTAATCCTCGAAGAAAATTTCTTTCACTTCAATGGAAAGCAGTACCTACAAAACCATGGAACTACAATGGGCACAAAGACAGCAGTTTTGATTCCTTTGCCAATATTTTTATGACATATATTAAAACAACAACTCTAAGCAGTTTGAACAACAGTTTGGAAATGCTACATACACGATATCTTTTCCCTATGGCACATGATTAAACCAGACATTGAAGCCTTCATTGAACAAGCAAACTCACATCACCCAACTATTGAATTCACAGCCGAAACATTTGACACTGAGACTACTTTTTAGACATGGTTGTATACAAAGGCACAAGATTCAAGGAAAAATCTATCCTTGATGCAAAGACACATTTTAAACAAAAGGAAACATTCTTGCACACACATTTCACCTTGCGTCACCCTCCAAATGCTAAAAAAGGATTTGTTAAAGGAGAAGCCTTGAGAATCCTACAGAAAAACTCCTCAGAAACAACCTTTGAGGAAAATAATTCAAATTTAAAGAAAAAAAAGCTTGATGGACGGAGGCTACCAACAATCTTTGATACAAAACCTTCTATCACAAATAAAATTCACAAAAGGGAGTCTAAACTCCTAAAACAAAACAACAAGGCGGAAAAAGAAATATTGCCATTCGTGACACAATACCAGTCCTCTGTGTCTACTATGAAGGAACCTTGAAAGAAAAAATGCAATCTTATACAAAACCAACTATAACTTCAATAAATTTTTAAAGAACCACCAATCATTTCCTTACAAAAAAGGAAAATCATTAAAGGACATGCTTGTTAGAGCCAAAAAAAAAAGGTTAACAGAGGGTTCCATGCCTGTATAGATGTGGGGCCTGTCACCCTTTGTATTTTCTCTTACAACAGGTTTGTGAGTATTTTAGCAATAATAGTCCGGTTTTGAATTAAAAATAACCGCTGAATATAAACATTAACGACACATTCATACAGGGTTAGCCTCGACGTGAAGTAAAACATTCAGAAATTCTGGCAAGTAAGTGTTTGAAATTTGAAGATACACAATAGACAGAGTAATAAACAGGTCTTTTTCTCGTTGGAATTTGTGAATATATTACTTCAGATTGAGGCTAAGGCTGTAAAACATGCGTCTTCACTTCTTTAATAATTAATAATTATTCAGCGGTCACAACGAACTCGAAAATGGACTATTCCAGCTGGCTGTGTTTTATACAACAAGTGTAGTCAACTGTCTCGTTAGTAGTTAGTGCCCATCTATGTAATAAAATAGGGTGACCCACCCCCTGAGGGTAGCTGAAAATTGCACAACCCACCCCTTCCACAAGGCTCAAAACCTCATGACCCACCCCCCCATACTTTTTGACCAGTCCCTAACCGCAGGGAGAACATCATCACACTCCAGTCCTAAGACTTGCATTATTCTTATTTACATGCAAGGGGTTGGAATTGACTGATGCATACTGTTGACTGAGTGGCAGTGCAATTTTTTTATACTACGAGCGTGAGCGTAGGGAAGCTTAAATAGGGACCTGTTGGGAGGGGGGGTGAGCGCACCCATTGCACCCCCCTCCCTACGGGCCTGCTAGGGGGTTACAGGGGGACAAAGGGTTACAGAGGCTGTTACAGTGGGTTAGAACAAGAAATTAGGTAGCTACGCTAACCACCCTGAACAAAAGCTGATCTCCTAAAAAAAAATGAGAAGAAACTTGCTGTTCACCATCGAAATGCAAAATGTTAATTTGGTAAAATTTTACAAAATATTGGTATTTTTACTATGTTTGTTGCTGTGAATTTTTGGAGGAGAATTAAGTCAATTAAGTGTACTGTAAGTTTTAAACTATTAATTACACATAGAAATTAAAAGATCAGAGCGTTGTAGCAAAAGGCAAAGAGGAAGTTTGCCTTTTAATTCAGAAGGCGATTATGTTGTTTTTGCCTGGTAAAAAAGATTGTTCCATAGCATTGCACCACTTCGCTTAAAACTGCGTCTGGAGAAATTAGTTTTTGGGTTTAAAGATCTAGATCAGTTTCAAGATTGCCAAGATCATAGCTGTTGTTACTAGTGTTGAGTTTTGTAAAGGAGGCTGTCAGTTGGGTGAGGGGCAGGGGGGGAAATTGATTCTTGAGGAGCGAATAGTTTCCAGGTTTCCATTTCAATTTTTAAGAACATCTACTCATGTAATGTCATTATGACAGGGTGTTTATTATGTATCAAAGATCAGAGAATCGTCTGTTAGTAGAGAGAAATCTCCAGCTAATTTTCGGTAGCTTATTACTATTGTTTTATTGAGACATACTGGAGCCTTTTTCAAATTATTACCCTGTAACATTAAACCTTACTTCTGCTACTAGAATTCTTAACAAAAACCATGTATAATAAACTTGTAATGACTTTACCGTACGGTTTTGAATTTTTTGCAATTTATCTTTCAGTTTCTTAGCACAAGTATTCAACAAGCTAAGCACGATGGAATTACCAGTAATCAAAGTAAGTAACAGTCTGTAGCATTAACCTGAGATTAGAGGGGTTTTTAAAGGGTTTTTAAAGGGTTTCAAGGGATTACCAGGGATTGCTGGGGGATACAAGGGTTTAAAAGGAGTTACAGGGGGTTACAAGAGGTAACACTGGGGGTTATAAGGGGTTACATGGGCTTGCAGGGGGTTACAATTGGTTACAAGAGGTTAGAGTGGGTTACAACAAGCAATTAGTTAATTATGCTAGCCACACAGAACAAAAGCTGATTTCTTTTAAAAAAAACTAAGCAGGAATTTGCTGTTTACTATTGAAATGAAAAATGTTACAAACTATTTGAGGGTAATATATTAACTAGGTAAATATTTACACAATACAGGTGATTTTACTATGTTTGTTGTTGTGAGTTTTTAGAGAATAACAAAGTGTACTATAAGTTTTACACTATCAATTACACATACAAATTAAAAGATCAGAGCAATGTAGAAAAAGGCAAAGAGCATGTTTGCTTTTAAATGCAGGAAGTGATTGTGTTGTTTTCGCATGGTAAGAAAGATTGTTGTAGAGCATTGCACCAGTACACTTAAAACCCTGTTTGAGTAAATTAATTTTTGTACCTTGGAAATGCCAGATCAGTTTCAAGATTGCTTAAAGATTATAGTTTGTGTTACTTTCATTGAGTTTTGTAAAGGAGACTCTCAGATGCAGGGGGGATGGGGGGGGGGGGG